CTTTTAAATTATAGTTGCCATTAGCAACGTCGTTAATTAATTAGAGTTTATCACTATTACATTCATCCAGTTGTTAGCTTGTCTGGCCGGCTATTCATTTCAAAATGAATAAATACATATAAATTTATTTTCACAATTAGTTAATTGATATAATTAAATTAATACTAATCCAATTAATCGTAAAAATAGTTTCAGTAATAATAATAATAATAATAATAGTAATAATAATAAACCGCAAAATGTTCCCGACAAAACACTTGACTGACGTGCAGCAAAATGAATTGATGAGGGATTTGGTTGCCAGACAGCTGAAGAATCAGAAATTATACACTAACTTTTTTGTTAATCCTAACAAACCTGGTTGGTTCTGTATATCTATGTGTGTGTGTGAATTGTGAATTGTTTCGTATTGTATACTATTAGTGTTTGTCTTTCTCTCTCTTTTCCTCTTTCTATCTCTTTCTTTTCCTCTTTCTCTCTCTCTCATTTTCTTATTTATAATTAATAGTAAAATTTATATTACGTAAATTGTAATTCTGTCTTTTCACTGTAGCCCCATACGTTACTGATAAGCCGACGAGTTTCATTGAAGAGCCATTGAAAGAGGAATGTAAGTGGCTGATGATGTTGCTGATAATGATAGTGAGGATGTTCTCTAATTATTCGATCAATTAATCCTCAATTAACCGATCAATTAATTAACCACTAATTAAGCCATTCGATCAGTAACAATCAATTAAACCGTCAATTATTTTATCGTCTATTGAACCGAAAAATTGCCAATTAGAACGATCAATCAAACACCAATCAACGACTTATTAACAACCAATTAACCGACTTTTTGATTAGTCAATTAACCGACATTTTGATCAAGTCAATTAATTTTCTATCCAACCGAATATTTCATCCATCCCGTTTTGAGGTAAATTTTTAGCAGATTTCTGCGTGAATGACAAGCCGCCTGTAGAAAAATATAAGTACCCACAAACAACTAACATGGAATACGGCTGGGTCCAGAACGAAGACGTCAGTTTAGTCGGTTATGATTATTGGTAGTAGCATTTCTAGAAGTAGTAGCGACAGAAGTAGTAATAGCAGCGGCAGTAGTAGTAGCAGTTAGTTAAGTCAAAAAGTAGACGCGTAAATCAGCGCATTATACAGCTTTCTTTTGTAATTGATTGGTTGATTGATTGATTGATTGATTGATTGAATGGTTGGTTGATTGAGGTATATTGGTTGATTGATTTATTGATGAGAATAGCGATAATGACGATAATGATGATAGCGATGATGGTGATGATGATAATGATCTTCTCAGTTATACAAGGAAAAGTTCAACAAACGTTTCAACCATCACAAAAGCAAGACAGACATGTACCTCTATATGCAACCTAAAGCAACTGCAACAACTGACAGTGCTGCAATGATTGGTCTTGCTGGGACGGATGATAGAGAGATGGAAAAGAATAAAAGAATGGTTCTGATTGATTGATTGGTTGATTGAATGGTTGGTTGATTGAAATGAATGGTTGGTTGATTGATTGATTGATTGATTGCTTGATTGATTGAATGATGAATGGTGGTAATATTATTATCGTAGATAAGATGTATCAGTCATTTATCAATTCACCAATCAATTAACCAATCAGCCATCCAATTAACCAATCAACCATCCAATTAACCAATCAACCATCCAATTAACCAATCAATCAACTATCTATCCAACCAACCGATGAATCCATAGGGTTCTTTGAAGATGTCGCATCTGAATAAGTCAGCTGCATCCGGACGTTCAAATCCCGAATTAATCCAAACTCAAAACCCGAAAACTTCTTTACTGGGTTCAAACAGTCCCAAGATGACTGCGGCCGCAACTATGACCGAAGTGCCTAATCCGGATCAAAATCCGGAACAAAATCCAGAACCAAAACTGAAGGAGCAAATGAATGAATGAATAGTATTTGTTTTTTAATAGTTTTTTTGGTCGGTTAATTAAATTTAATTGACTGATTGACTAATTGATTTACTTTTGAATCTTCGTAACTTTGATTGATTGGTTAGTTATTTGATTAAATGATTGATAAATTGGTTGGTTGGATGTCCATTGTTGAAGTGGAGAACTCAATTTTTAAATGTTTTGAAAAAAAAAAATTTTTATTCATGTCATTTCAGTTCATTTTCATCATTTATATAATTTTGGGTTCAGTGTGTGGGTTCGAATAATGCATTTCGTCACTTTTAAAATTTTTTTTAAAACTTCGTTCACTTTTAAGCGTCCTGATTTTGAAAATTCG